GGAAAGAGCACTCTGTAAATACTGATGTCCTAAAAGAAAGTAGATCCATATTTTTCTAACAGGCAGGTTAAGATCTTGAAGTATTGTTTATGTCAAATTTTCATTACCTGTGGTAACCAGCTGTGTTTCAAGAAAGTGATGTGATCGTATGGTGGTGTTACCTATGGCTGTCACAGCTTCTGCTAACGTGCTTTTGGTCCTGTGTTAGATTTTTTTTTCAGCTTCTTTTGGTTAAGATGTATACCAGGCTACTTTTCAGGCAGATGACATTTTCCATCACAGAATTGAGCTACATACAACATACACTCAAATGTGCATGGTAAACAAAGCTGGAAGGAGCACAGTTGTATTTCCTAGAGCAGATTTACATTTCACATAGTTACTTTCTTAGAAATACATTAACAGCTAATTTTTGCTAAAGTACATTTTACTCTATGCATAAAACCAAATTTCTCCATTAGAAAATCTAGATTTACTTCAAACTCTTCATCAATTGTTAGATTGCTATTTTATATAATGATATCTAATAACCAAAACTAGAAAATAAGAGTGTTGTTAAGGTTAAGGATTTAAACACAACAAAAATTAAGAATTAAAGAGTCAAGGCTGAATATTTACCTGATCTTGACTGCAGTAATTTTCACATATAGTAACTGGAATAGCATCTCATTACTTAATAGAATATTATTTCTCAGGAATCGCAAGTAATACAGAGTAAAATTATTTTGTATAAATTATTTAGTGTAACGTACGGTTCACAGGGTAGAGCACCTAAAAGTCACACAAGGAAAGGGTTCTTTTTTAGAGTAACCATAATCTGTGCACCATACACAAATAGGGCAAAATTTTTAAAGGGGTCTCCATTTTCCCTCTGATTTTATACCCTCAGTCTAATTTATGCTTGTATGATAGGATTAAGATAGCTGAGTTTTTGACTTCAGTCACTAATTGATATATCTTAATCCTTTCATATCTGTCCTTTAAAATAAGAGGCCATCTTTAAAAATTTCACCTAAAGTGCTCAATTTTGCCTTCAGATACCTCCATGCAACTTCCATTGAAGTAATTGGAGCTGTGCCTGCATATCTGATGGTGGAGCTGGACTCATTGCAATTAAGGTACACATTTACCGGCATAATTGGTCATCTGGAGTAATCGCTGGGCCCAGCTTGGTGTTCTGCTTGTGCAGAATTTCCTCTGCGTGTGGGAGATTGAAGATTACGATGATGATAACTTTATTTTGTGCCTTAAATTTGTAACTGTGGCAGAATTTCATTGTAATTTGCTGTATTTAATTTTGTCCATTATTACATAAGAAATGTGGAAGGAGGACATGAAAACAGCTTATTTTTCACGGTGATGTCTTTGTATATTTTCTCATACCCAGCCAGCGCACAGACATTCCATCATTGCCACAAGCACATTTTGGACGATACGTGCATGCACAATCGTGATTTGTGCAGTAGCACAAGGTTTAAAATAACCAACCCAGAGAATACTTGTTTTTAGGGATTTTTTTCTGTATCTTTGTGCTTGCAAACCGCAGATAAAAAAATAGACGTGTAAAGAATCCCACCGTTAACTAACAGCATAAAACCCACATAGGAGAACTTTGGTACCTCTTCATTCACAGTACAGATCTTTAAACAACATGATAGAGTACTTATTTTCCACTAATTTAAAATTCTCTGTGTTTTCTGATTGAAAATGGATTCCATGCAGCTTTTAAATTTAAGACTTTGGTCTTGGGAGGGGCTGTTTACAAAAATCTTGACTTTTAAACCTGATCCTTTATAGAGAGTTCTATAAATCCATGGTTGACCCAACAGCAGCAGCAGATTTTTGCAGAGGTTTTTCCCAAATAAAACTCCAGTGTTGAATTTGTGACGACACAAAAAAATTCCAACTTGAAGGAATTCTTATTCCTGGATGTTATAACCTGTACCTAACCAATGGATGTAGTGAGTGCTCGCTCCTGTGGTTTAGAATAGTAACTGATGAATATTTGGGTCAAGCTCTAGAACTGTTACAAAGTGCCAGTTTTCAAGGTTTAGGTTTTGTTGGTATTCCTTTGGGTTTATAGTGCTACCAAGTTTAAGAATGGCAAAATATACAATTGCCTCTGAAATTATCCACTACCACAAAGGTTAACTTATTTTAAGGAAACTTTAGCCCAGGGGCTTTCACACCACTCTTAGTGTGCAAGCACAGCCAGTATTAATTGCCATAACTTGTTCAAATTGAAGATGCTCTTTATAGCACCACTACTTCTTTAATATATTTTAATATTAGATATCTTTTTTTTAGAGAAACAATGTCGTGGGTATATTGAAAACACAAGAACAAATAATTTCTTTTAAATAGAAGTGAACATTAGAGAGCAAAGCAGTGCTTTTAAAGGACTTTTTGTAAAATAAGAATACTAGAAAAATTACTGTATTTTTTACTATGACTGGTTGAATGGAGAAATTAACCTCAAATAATCTTCAGCTATGGTAAGCAGTTATGTTTTAAAATAGTAGTAGGAATTAATGACTTTAAAATAAATTTTAATACCTGTCTAATGCATTAATTCATAGAATGCTACTGTAATATTTTCTACATTTAAGCAAATACGTGGTTAGATGATCATGGATTTATGTCCCCTGCCTCCAGAATACTTAACAGGTTTATAATTCAGCCTATCACCTAAATTCTTTCACTCTTTTCATATCTGTTGCACCAGCTTGATTATGTGTAGGAAATTGGGATGTCTGCTCCTTTTCAGGTAAAGACTCGCAATGGAAGTGGTTGATTTTTTGACATTGGTGTTCCTCTGTTCTGTGTTTACACCCTGCTCGTTTGACTTGTTTGTACATTTCTTTGTTTTGTTGAGGTGGAAATAAGCTGAAATTGTTGCTGAACTGTTTGGTTGGGTTTTTTTTCCCAAAAGTTTTCGCTCTTTTTAATTGACTTTCATTGTGTGTTTTTGCAGCAAGCTTAGTAGTGGAGGAGCGAACGAGACAGATGAAAATGAAAATGCACCGTTATAATCAGACGTCAGGGTCTGGTTCTAGCCAAGAACATGAGCGTGAGCAATATACCAAGGTAAAGTCAGTAGTGTTGAAATGATACTTTGGCTTGGCAATTGAAGGCATAAACCTGTTTATTTAAAATATTATTTAGCCCCAAGAACACTGTGTTATAGAGCCTGAGTAATAGCTTTTAATATCATTTTTACCCCCATCTGACATGCATTAGACTTAGTCTTTGATGTCACCTAAAGTGAATCTGCAAAAAGCAGAAGACTTCAAAACTAATTCAGGGAAGATCCATCAAGAGCTGTTAAACAAGGCCATGTCGCCTCTGGCTTAGGAAGTCCCTGGCCTGCAAATCCCTGAAGGATGGAGAAGTTGGGCCATGGAAATATCATCATATGTTGGCTCCACTCTCTTGTTCTTCTGTAGGCCCTTGCTGTTGTCTGACATGTAAAGAGCCACACAGAATTTGATCCAATCCCATGCAGCTGTTCTCATATTTGTATAGTATTTTTGCATCCTAATAATGTCACAGATAAAGTATTTCCTTTTTTGAAATACACACTGATTACTTTTATCTCCTTTTCTAATAAAAGTGTAACAATTTCCTCTGATAATTAAGTGTACATGAAATTACATTAATGCAGTTACATAGAGGGACTTACTTTTTAATTTTCCTTGATAATGCTGAAATGATATCCCACAACCTTGTAAGTTTAAAACTGTGTAGGCTTCTGAGCAAACTGCTGAAAACATCTGGCACATCTGCACTGCCCCTTACAAATCAAGCTGTGAGGGGCGGGAGCTCAACTTTCTACTAAAAACATTTTACATTGTGACACCTAACAGAGGGGGAATAGTCGCAGGAGTCAAGAGGAGAAATGTTTAGTGAGATTCTGTGTTTATTTTTAGAGATGTGACACCGTGTTGGTGTAGGCAAAGTAAAGGGCAGAGAGGAAACCGGCAGTAAGAGCTGTGGGGAAAACATCCCTGCAATTCTCCTCTCCCTTTGCCATTGAGAGTTAGGAGCTTTCAGCAAGTGTCCACGGGATGGCAGTATGAATGTAAGGGTCCACTAAAAACTTCAGGGACACACATAGCAACTGTGTGCATTAGAAGTAAGGATTCAGAACAACAGTAGTTGAAAGAAAATCACGACTTTTACTAATTTAGACTTTCATGCTTCAAGAGCCACATCCCAAAGACTTTCTTCACATCAGGAATAATTCAACGCTTGTATATTTGTATTCTGTGATTTTTATTTCTGTGTTTTAAAAGAGATGAACTTTCCATTTGTGAGCTGGTGCCATACAGAAAACAGCAAACACTGCCAAGCTGCGCACATCAGGATGCTCCTGGCATTTATTGCCATAGCGCAGGCACCGCACTTATGATCTCTGCCCCTCCAGGATCACTTCCCTCAGAACTGATGCGTACTCCCGGAGGCACAGGCTAAAATAACAGATAAGTGAGGTACTCAGCAGAAGCAAAATCTACTTAGAAATGGGTAAATAGGTAGTTGGGCGTCTAAACTTGCAATATCTAACAGATTAGAAAGGTTTGTTGTAGATTTTGTTAAAGTTAAATGTGGGGAAAACTTTGTGTTTTTTTGAGACCACCTCATCGTAAACATAGAACTTAAATGAAACGGTTCTCAAAGGGAAGATAAATAATCCCAAATTGGGGGATATCAGTGCAATTTAAAAAAACAACTAACAATTGGGATGGAAATTTCCAAGGAGATCACCTGTCATAAGCCAGAATTTGTGTAATCATGACAACAGCTCATTTGATGAATGTTTCTGTTACCTTCAGAAGAGGTCAACTCAGGCAAGAGGATGAGATGCAGTGTGTCTTTGTGGTGTTTCCAACCTATTAACATGTTTAAAAACATAGTAAAAATGTGCTCGATAAAGTTTGCAGGAGAGAAATGTAATGTGTGATCTGAGGACTTTGGCCAGGATAACCAAACATATGAACCTTTGTTCATAGTCAAAGGCCAGTTTTCCGATTTGGATTAACTGTGCTTTGTTGATTGTTTCATATTTTTTCATTATGAAACTTATTCTTTAATTCTAATTCTCTTTAATATTTATCATAAGCAATTTTTTTTTTGCTCCACAATGTATTTTTTATTATTGCGTTCATATAGATCCAATGTATGGTTAAATAGTTGTTGGAAAACATCAACCTGCAATGTTACAAATTTCTCTTGTCCTCTAGAACCTAGAGTTTTCTAGAATAATCTTTAGTTTTTAAACATATATGGAAACAAAATAAAAATTAAAATCACAGCATGCTGAGTACTAAATGAAAAGAGCTCTGTTGAAGATAATTTTAATTTTAATGTTTGTTGTTTTTTTTTTAAAGTATGACCACAACTTTGAGGAAGCAAATTATCTGTCCACTGTTATAAGAAAAATAGTTTGAGAGTACCCGTTGTTCTGACAGACGTGTTCTCCTTTCCATGCTGAAGCAGTAGTAAGGAGAATGAGTTAGTTGTCCTGGACTTTAAATCCAAAAATCTTTAACTTTTCTACATGATAATGGAGTAGTCCTAGATGGGATGATTGATAATAAACTTTTAAGTGCTGAGAACAAATTATATTAGCACATACCAACACTGAGTACTATATTTGCTTCGTATCACTATGGTGATAGTCATCACTTGAAAAATGTTACTAAAACAAACCTTGTGCTACTCTTCACCCTCAGAAGATGCTGAAAGAGTCAACAAAATAAACCAGAGATGAGAGTTTAGACAGCTCTAATGAAGAGGTACTAAGTCATATCAGGTTGAGCAGTAAGGCCATGACTGGGACTTCTAAGGACTTTGGACTATAC